CAAGACTAATTTCTCACTCACTCTACAAGTGATTTGTGGGATGTTGCTGGGGAGTGTGTACCGTTCAGGTCTTCCAGGGTCTGAACTGATGGAACAGCTGTCATCCTGAACTTTGTGGCTGTTGTGTAAAGGATCTGGAGACTGTTATAGCAGCAATTAAATGCCTCTGCCTGGAAGCAACACTTGTTGGTTTTGCTTGTGGCCTCAAACTTGTTGGAAGGCTGTACCCAAGAGGCCAGAGACTGCAATCCCTCCATGTTTCTTACTAGAAGGAGACAGAGTGACGTGTTTGGTGAACACACTGAGGACAAGCATGCTTACCATGTGTGTGAGTGCTGCCTGAGTCCCACGTATGAAAACCTTCCCCTCTTGCTCTTACTGTTTTTTACTTCTGGAAGGAAGTTCTATTTGTCTTTACTGCATTTGCCTTAGTCAGTGCCTAGCTTTCTCACATAGATCATAACAATGGCTCCTAATTCTGCTCTGTACTCGATCCCTTTAAACATTACCTCCCCGACACAGTGGTCATTCCCTTAAGACCCTTAAAAGTTCGTCGTCTCAACATGGTGTGTTCCAAACCTTTGACACAAGCTGACCTTCACGACTGACCCCTGCTGCCTTCCAGCCTTTCCTCTGGTACCCCTTGTGCTCGCCGTGTTTCCTTACTTGCTGCGAGGCTTTTCTGTGCCTTTTGCTCTGTTTAGAAAATGTCTTGTTCCCTCTTATCATCCCTCTTATTCCTCACAAATACTCTGTTCCAATCTAGAAACTCCGTAATCCTCTTTGCAGATTTCCAAGGATGCTTTTCCCTGAGAAATACTTTCCGACTTTCTCAAATGGAGTGATGACTGTTTCCTCAGTTTTAGCCAACAGACCATCCTATGCATGGTGTTCTCAAAGCACACGGTTTGTATTTTTTAGATTTCATGCTTGCTTTACTTAAGTGATCTATGCACATGCTGATGGCAGGGACATGTGACTAAGTCATATGTTCCCAGAGAGAATAATTATGTAGTTCCTGGCACATGAAGAATGTGAAGTAAGTGTGTTACACACATCCAAAGACACAAAGATAAAATCACACCATCAAAGGAAGATTCTGCAAGCATATAATGACCTGTCTGTCTGTCTGTCTATCATCTATCTATCTATCTATCTATCTATCTATCTATCTATCTATCTATCTATCATCTGCCTATCTATCTATCTATCATCTATCTATCTATTATCTATCTATCTAATCTATCTATCTATCTATCAATCATCTATCTATCTATTATCTATCTATCATCTGTCTATCTATGGATCTATCAGTCTATCTATTGTTCAGAGTGAGAATTATGTATTATGTGTGTGTATGTGTCCTAACCCTGTTCTTGGACAAGTTAGCCATTATAAATTTCAGTTGCTTTCTCCGTGATACTCTGTAAGGAATGCTTACATGGTTTTGCTCATTTCATAGGTTTGCTAGGCTTATAGTGAAGGCTCTTAGCAGCCTGCAGTAGTTCCTTACTACTGTGATAACAAATGATCACACTCTTGGTAGCTTCTAGCACACCTCTGTTATCTTAGAGTTACAAGGGTCAGAAATACAAAATGGGTTTCACTGGGCAAAATTCCTTCTGGAAGTCCTAGAGGAGTAATCCATTTCATTACTTATTCTAATTTCCAGGAACATTGTCTCATTGAGTCTTTCTCATATTTTATGATTAAAACATACAGCTTTCTGTGGTTGATATATTGTGCACCCCAATAAACTTATTTGGGGGCCTGAGACAGAACAGTCACTATATTAAACATAGGTTTAGGCAGTGGTAGCACATGCCTTTAATCCTAGCATTCTGGAGGCAGAGATCCGTCTGGATCTCTGTGAGTTCAAAGCCACACTGGAAACAGCCAGGCATGATGACACATACCTTTAATCCCAGGAAGTGATGGCAGGAAGCAAAAAAGTATATAAGGTGTGAGGACCAGGAACTAGAGCCTTTTTAAGTTCTTAGGCTTTTAGCAGCAGTTCAGCTGAGATCCATTTGGGTGAGGACACAGAGGCTTCCAGTTTGAGGAAACAGCTGAGGAACTGGCAAGGTGAGGTTAGCTGTGGCGTATTCTGCTTCTCTGATCTTTCAGCATTCACCCCAATACCTGGCTCCCGGGTTTGTTGTTTATTAATAAGACCTTTTAGGATTCATGCTACAGCTTTCTGCCTAGAAGGACTCCTGAGAGTATATTAGAGTTTGTTGAAAATCCAGGATAATGCTCCAACTTAAGATCCTTAGTTTAATTGTATCTGCAACACCCCTTTGTTATGTGAGGTATACAAAGCCACACAGTCATAGGTTCAGAGAACTGGGATTTTAGAGGAAGCATTATCCTGCTGATTTCTGTGTTCTTTCTCATTAAAAAGCATTGTTATTATGTGGCAATTATCATTAGAGCTACAGTTACTTCTTAGACCTTTTTGAATTAATTGTTTTTGTTTCAGATCCCATACACTTATGAGCCATACAACCTTGATGTAATTCACCATTTACTGATAATTTAGCTTGAAAGAACCATGGTATTTTCACTTCAAAAGTGTATTAAGTGCTTAACCTTGGAGATTTAGTGAGATTTAGCATTTTGTGATGCTGGAGAACATACTGTAGTAAAAGAAAATTGAGATTTAAACATGTCTTAATAGTACTAAGACAAAATTTCTGTTGTTGCAGAGAAATGGCTAACAGCTATTGAGGCATTGTTATGAGCTAAGAGCTGCTGAAGTGTTTATACATTGACGAGTGAAGTCTCCACAGTGAGCCTCTAAACTTTAGAGTGCTTCTATTTTCCTTATCTCACGGTACTTGAGAGTTTGCCCAACTAAGAGTAGAAAGTGGCAGAGATGGAATTTTTAAGTTAAGGTAGGCAGGCTGCAGACATTGTACTGCGCTCTCCAGCACCGTGGAGATCAGAAGGGAGACAAGGCTGGGTGACTTCAGCAGAATGAACTCTGTGCTTTGTGCCCTTAGGGCTCAGCATCTCTACAGTCTTCATCGTGGTACTGGCTGAAATCATTTAGTATTGTTGACTTCTCATTTTCATGTTTTTAGAAAAATGCTTACTAGGTGGCGACCAGCTGTGTTGGAAGTGGTCAGTTTCCAGCCCCCCCCCCCCATCTCTCTTCTTTTCCTCCTCTCTGTTCCCTTCTCTTTTCCCCTCCCTCCTAACTATCCTTCAGGAATGTCAACTTCAGCAACTGTCGAACGTTATCTCTCTCAGTATTCTGACAAATTGTATTGCCACACAGAGGCAATGGCTAGGAAGCTGCCTGTTATTTTAAAGCAATGTGTTTTCTAAGTTAATGTTTTCTACAAAGACCATTGTTTCCAAGGACTGCTTCGGCCAAGCAGATGATAGTAGCATGCCCACCACCATGGTGAGGTTAAAAATATAAGCAAGATTATTAATAAGACTAGTGATCACAAAAATATTATGAACAACTGTTGAAGCCTTTCATATGGCAAGGAAACTGATTTTAGTAGGATTACTCAGAGGTGTAGATGTAAGGAATTGGCATGGGCTGGAAGTATGTTGATGGAGCTTGCTGCCTACTCAGGGTTAGTATGGTAAGAATCAACTTAGTGGATCTTCTTCTACAGCCACATTAACAGAAATATATTATCTGAAAAATCTATGCAGAAATAAACAAGGAAAGGGAGTCATTTACACAGAAGTGAAATCACAAGTAATGACAAAACATGAACTTAGAAAGAGTCAATAAACTCAGATTATTAGCTGGTCATATTCACAAAGAGCCAAATGTAAGATTATTGAGTTTTGGCAATGCACCTTATGTAATAACAAAGCGTACATGTGCATTTTTTTTTTTTTTTTTTTGCGATCAGTGATAGATTCTGAATCATTTGAAAATTGAAAACAGTGGAGCGGGTGCCTTGCTTCTCCATGTGCCCCTGACATTTCCTTGCAGCCTCTTATGGTTGAAGAGTGTGTTACCTGTGTCACGAGGCTTCCTTTTCTGCCCAGCGTTTTATTTAGAGTCCTTTGGCAGATGAAGCTGTTGACCTCAGTTAGCCAGAGGCAGCTGCTTTGCTATTTTGAATTGGAGTGAATGTTATCTTCATGCAGACAAAAGTTTTTTTTTCTTTTTCCAGAGACTGATAGTAAACATTGTATTTATATTTCTTTTGTGTTTAATGGTCCATGGGAATATTTAGAAAAGTGACATCCAATTAGATCATTCACTGTAAATGCCTTTTAGAAAAAAATTCTCCCTTGGGTGTTTCTAAGGAAGGGCCAATGTCACATTCCTTTGCTTTCATTGTTGGGCTCGACTACAGTGCTGTGCTCACAAGGCATGGTCTACAATCTATTTTGATGGAGTTAAAAATACATGATCTCTTTCAAGGTCTTAAAAGTTCTGCCTTAAAAAAAAAAAGGGAATTATCAATAATCTTACATTTGGCTCTCTGTTTTGTGAATGTGACCAGTTAATAATTGTAGTTTATGGACTCTTATTTCATATATTTATGTTGTTTTGGCTAAAGATGAAAGTAATTTACCCTCTCCATTTACTTTTTGCTATAATTGGAGTTTAATTCTTTTCAATTTCTATGATATTTTGTAGTAAATGAGTCTGGTTATTTTTTTTTACCCCCAAATTTAATTAAACCCTGGAGAAATATAAAGCTGAAAGCAAGCAAGTTTCACTGTCTTTGGGTGGCCGGTGCAGCATAGAGCCACGTGAAGCATGTGTCCTGGGTTCAGGGCCATGCGATGATGTGTGACATGGAGAAATTGAGACCATGGGAAAAGAACACCATTGGATTCACCATGTTTAATTCTTGGTGGTTCTAATGGCTGTTGTCTTGCCTTTTGTGTTTGCCTGGGCAGGATGACAGATGGGCGAACGACATTAACACTTTCTTGATGTTTACTTGTGGTTTTTTTTAGAATAAATACTTTGAGAAATGTGTAAAAAAATATTTATATATTTTGTCTTTCAGGAACATTAAAAAAGGTTTATTTTAAATCAAATGGCAGTGAACCTTTCGTCACTGATGGTGAAGTTCAAGTACCTGGTGTATTCCTTGCAACTACAGTATATAATGAGAGCACAGGGGCACCCACGATGCCCCCAAGTCAATCCACTCCAGCCTGGACACCTAGAGTTGCTCCTTTCTCTGGGGACCAGAGTCCGAGGAATACAAGTAAGTCTGAAGTTGCTGAACACGAACACCTTTGTCTATGACAACTGACACGGTGAAGTCACACTCACAGGTCATCTGATGAGAGCCATTCACTCAGAAGGCCTAGCCGAGTGCCTGTCCTTTAAGTCTGAAATGGCAGCAGCTCTGTGGGCAAGACTGAGATGGAGTAGGGAACAGTCATGAGTCAACATTTTTGAGCTATAGCCCTTTATAAGAGTTCCTTGCCCCATTATGAGCCTTATGTGAAAGTTACTTATTTAGAAGTTATTAAGTTGGTAAGTGAGGTCACTTACGGTGTTCTCAGGACCTTGCTGGAGGGAGTCCCTAGCCATACAAGAAAAAGAGAGCATGGCTGAAAACTCACCCCGACTTCCTTCAGAGGTGGGCCCATGTTCTTTGTCTCGGGCCTCCTTCTTTTATTGGTGGTGACAGTTCCTTGACATCTTGGTGACTAAAAACAATCACACCTTCAGGAAAATGGCAAGTGCTGAGTTCCTTCTGGGTGAACTTCAAGGAAGGGGTTGTTAGGATTTCCAGAAAAAGAGCTGGGCCAGAGAGAGAAAAGACAGAGTATGGAGACATCCTCTGGAATGTGACTCAGTCCCTAGACAGCCTGAGACCTTCAGGAAAGTTATTCCACTTCCAGAAGGCCCAGTGGGATGGGTTTGCGTGCAAAGGCATTCTCAAAAATACAAAAAGTGTGAAGTCCTTCCCTGAAGCTGTTCTGCCTTTTATTTATTTATTTATTTTAGCTCCCTACAGCAAGGTGATGTCATTGGGAATTATATAAAACTCACCCATCCGTGATCACCTTGTTCCCTCTCCCATCACGACACCCACAAGAGGAAATCACATCCTAGTCTGGGCCAGAGTATTTATTTTCATTCTGAACTAGGAAGGGAAAGCTTAAGTTGACTTTTAGCTATCAAGGTGTGGATTTGCTAGCGCTTGAGAAAAAACAGAATTATTTTGTTACTCCAAATTCAAAAGCGACAGACTGCTTAGATTTCACTGTTTCACAGTGTACCTACAGGTATTCGCCATCTCTTAGACTCAGTGTTCACCAGGGATCCAGAGGCAGACGTGCTTATGACCTGACAGAGATATTGCAAAGCAAAATTCGCCACGTTGAAATTACTTTCCTCGGGAGTTTAATTTTGAGGTTCCATATTTTGCTCAAGCACTTCATTACCCTCAAGGACAGTGTTTTCCATCAGTAGTGAAAAAGTCATTTACATAACAACCGCCCAGTTAATGTGGTCGTAATTACAGCAACTGTTCTTCTCTTCCTCTAAGTGGATTTGCCGGTAGTTTGAATGTTCTGTCATTCATTAAGATTCAAAGAAGTTTGACGAGCACATACCCCGGAGATTAAAAAAGAAAACACAGGGGGCTTGCTGTTCAGTTTGGAATTTTGATGGAACTCTGACTAGTTGTTTCTCTTCCCCTGGCCGGATAGGGACTTATTTTGACATGGAGATGAAATCCAGGTGAAATTACAATGATTACATGAAGAGACACTGAAGCCTTTGACAGGTGCCCATCTGTGTCGCTCCCGGGCTTGACTGCATGCTACTAGCCAGGGAACGTCCTGATACACTGTCGACGTTAACTGGAGCCATTGGCTACCAGGAGCTTCTATTTCCAGGCACTCTAGTGAGAGCGCCAGTCTGAGCTTGCTGAGGGTTTGACAGTTTTCCAGGCATATTTAGATGTGAGCCCCATAATGAACTGATGAGGTTCACAGGATGGGTAATGCACACTTCAGGTTGTAAGGCATAAGATCAAATTGACATGTCCAGTGTCATTTGCTTGGTAATAGGCAGCTGTGAAGCTGCGTCTCAGATCTGAGGACTTCTGGGTCAGTGCTGGGTCCTCTCGAGTGCTGATGTTTCCTGATAGAATTTTATTGTTTCCTTTACAGTGCTCAGAGCATTACTGCACACATCTCAGGCTCTGGGAGAATAGAAAGAGTCATCTACTTTTGGCTTTTGGTTTTTTGGATGAATAGCCATGGTGTTCTGATACAAAAAGCAATTAGTTGAATGAATAGGTGAAGTATATTGACTGGAAAGTGTTAACATGTGATTTGTCCCATTTTTTTTAGTGGCCTCTGATCACACTTCTGCTGCTTGATTTTGTTTAACCAACTTTAAAGTATCATTTAGTGTCTTCTTTTTATAGTAACACTTTGCAGGAAAACTGTTTTTGTATTTCCCCTGTTTTCTTACACTTCTCCAATCAAGAGTTTTTAAATTTTCTGGCATATGTAAAATCTATTTAAGTGTATGTTGGTCCTGAAACACTATGACCAGACATTCTACCTGGATTTCTTGGCCAGCTCTTGTCCACAGGTAGTTAGAAACAGTCTTGCTCCAAGACGCTTCCTCCTGGGGGACCCTCAGATCACGCCAAAGCTAAGAATTCTGCAGTTACAAAGTGTTGACGAGAATGTACCTCATAACTGTGCTTTACATGTGGCACTCCAGCTTTTCTGCATGTGAGGTGTATTGACGTAACACACTGTACTTCTGGGGTTTCTTTACCGTCTCTGTGAACTCCATGGGCAATGTAGAGAAGGAAGTGACCCACCATAAACTTTAATGCTGTATTTCAGCAAGAGATTTTTCTAGGTTGCATGCTATGTCTGGGTTTCAATTTATAACGTTTTTCTCTTTCTATGTATTGTAAGTATTTAAACACATGTTGAAGGAAAGGGAAATCCGGCTAACAAGAAGTCTGGGATCACACACAGCATGGTTCATGCTGAAGTAGCCTACGTGCTCTGGTCAAGTGTTGGAAGGTGGATGGCTGTCCTGAGGACTTGAGGGGCTCTGTTCTCTTCTCAGCCCTCTGGTAGCTAGCCCCTAGATGTTCTACCTCAGATAAAAGCAGGCCTTTCTTTTCATTCATTCACTTCTTAAAAATAACTGCCTTTACAAAGCAAACCGACAAGCAAAGGACATGGGAACCTGGTGGGGGGACCTGTAGGGTGTAAGATGAGTAAGAGAGGCAGGAGGGATGTCTGTGAGAATGTCTGTCAGAATGCCTTCTATACAAGGACCGAACTGTCAAAGAACAAATTAATAAAGAAAGCAACTGTTCCTAAGGCGTCATCAACATATTCAGTCCACCTTTACAACGTGGACAACTCAGCAGTTTTTAATGTATTTATAAAATTTATAAAGTTGTGTAATTATCACTACACCCTAGTTTGATTTTTTTTTTTGCTACAAAAAATGCTGTATCTGTTGCTCTTTATTATTTCCTTTTTGTACAATCCCTAGCCTAAGCTAATCTAATGATGTCTCCATGGGTTTGTTCACTTTGAAACTTGCAGGTGTGTCTAGCCTGAGGCCCATGGTCTGCATGTGGCCAAAGAGAGCTACAAATGTGCCTCAAAATCGAAAGCTGATTTAGCACTTTTGAAATGTTGGTTTTTTTTTTTTTTTAACTCAGTTGTGTGGTTCTCAGTGTGAACTTTGTAGGTGACAACATGGTGTCTCAATGCTAAAAAGTTGGGCATAAGTGGAAGGGTATCAGACCAGACAGGTTTCTTTTAGAGTGCTTTCAGGGTGCATCCATATCAGCTATGATGACATCATCACCATCCTCATCCTCAGCATCTTAGTGCTAAGTCATACTCCGTCAAATGGATATCTAACATTTTATCTATCTTTCCATTGATAGGTACCCAAGTTACTCCCATCTTTTTAGTGCCCTTGAATTATACTGCTGTGATTATTTGTGGTGTGGACATGTGTTTCCAGCTTTCTTTGGGTGTGTAAATGTGTTATTTCTCTAGTTTCCTAACTGTTAACTGTCTGGTTGTTCCACCCACTAAGAAGAGTGGGCATTGAGGCCTCTAACTACTGTCATCATCAACATCATCATCATCATCGTCATCATCATCTTCCTCATCATCATCTTCCTCATCCTCATCACACCATCTTGTTCTGGGTCATTTTCTTGACAATTTCTTGGGCCTGGGGCTTGGGGTATATTTGAGTGATCTAAGAATTCTATGTACAGTGTTCTTTATTGTATGTTTTCCTTTAAGGGGTTATAAAATAATTTAAGCCTCTTCTAGATCGCTTGGCAAAGTAACTTATAACAGTTACCATGGAGTTTTGGTGCTTATTTGAGTTTCTATGCACGATTATGTCACGGCTTAGCTATACTGCTTAATCATTCAATAGCTATAAGAAAGGAATGAAGCACATTGATTTTCTTCCCTATTGAAGACTAAAGTACATGTGTTTGAAGGTTGCCTTTGTAGTAGCTCAAATAGAGGAAAGTGACCACACAGTCACTTGGCCAGAATCAGCATGGGAGAAGCTTCCCGAATATGTAACTTATGTTACAGAAGCCAACTCAGGTTGTTTTACCAGAACAATGAACATATTAAGTAATGGTTAATTACTTTAAATTTTGTTAATTTTGTTTATATTTCCTCTATAATATCTAGAGGTTTATATCTAATTATATATGTGCCCATAATACTTTCTTTCTTAACTTTTTTATGCTAAGAACTCCTTTGGCACTCTGGTGAAGGCAAATGTCTTTCCAGAATAATATTTTGGTCCTAAAGTGAATTATACAGAGTTAAAATAATGAGAATTATATTAAAATGCAGTCGCTAAAATGTTCAAATGTAAAACATCCATTAAATAGTCAAATGTCTGTTTATTTATTAATGTATTAAATAGTGAGATCTAGTAACTGGTCAAAAGATATAATTTTCTAACAAGGATGAGCAGAAATAGTATTTTGAGATGTCTACAACATCTCTATGTTGATTTGTTAACATCTATGATCTATGTATTTTTTTTCTATATTTGTTGCCCATGTTAATAATTTAATTATCACAAATTTCAGTCATTGATTGTAGGACAGAGATGTTACTTTTCTCTTATACAGGTTTACAGACAGCTCAAATCCTTCATCAGACTGACAAGGTATGCATTTTGACGAAGGTGGCTTGAGATAGAGGAAAATAA